TTCAGAGAAAACGGAACTTGGTTCTGTGCCTGTTCAACAGAGCCACCAGAATCTGCTTCTCAGATACGATCGATGATGAGTTTACATTCCTAAAGAACGTTTTTCTCGCAAACGGGTATCCGGAAAAATTCATCGATAAATAACGCCATCCCAGACAAAAAACTCCTGAAGAAATATCTGTACCTAAAAAGTCAGTGATCATCTACCTCCCCTTCAAGGGTGATAACGTGTCAAGCGTGATCAAGCGACGACTACGGTGCATAATCGAAGGCACGTATGCCGCCTCTAAATTGCTATTCATAAGCACCACAACGGCCATCCCAGTTAGACCAGCTAAAGACATTTTGCCTATGCACGCCACATCAAACTGTATCTATGATTTTACATGTAGTTGCGGATGCACGTACATTGGGCGCACGCAAAGGCAGTTGAAAGCTCGGTCAGCTGAACACATTCCGAAGTGGCTGCTTAAGGCGGAAAATAAAGTACCCAGGAGCTCAATCACAAAGCACCTAGTGGACAGGGGCCATACGGTGGACCCTAGGGTTGCATTCAAGGTCCGTTTCGGGCGACGACCGGGCATCTCTTGCGCTTCGCAGAGGCCGCTGCAATACGGAGGAGGAAATCAGAACTCTGTAAGCAGTTGGACCACGTGATAAACTTGGCACTACCATGGTAGGGATCGATTATGGACGAAACCCTGTTCCCATATACGCCCTCTCATTTCGTCCCCACCTCCACTCCCCCCACCCCCTCCTCGACATGACTGATTGCTGCGCGCGCGGTGCACTCAAAATCACGCCGCACAAGTTCTCACTGTAGTCCTAACTCTCATATTTGGATGACTTCTCTCCCACTCCCCCCCTCGCCATATGCACCCGCATACTAGACCCATGTTTCAGGTTACCTATCGCGTTTTATCTTTCTAGGTCGATCGTTTATTGAACAGTTTGCCTTGTCATATAACTATGCCATGACCGTACGCAGCTGAATGGGAGGTCTCGAAATTTATGACGTCAGTAAATACTGCATGCTTAGTCGCCTTTGCCCTATTCAAATTTATTCCGGGAAAACCATTCCTTCAATCTACATATATAATTCATAAGCAGCTCGCTAAGAATGCAACAAGCCAGAAGCAGATAGCTGTTTCACGGTCGTTACCGACCACCAGTACGTCATAAGCCTTGTGAAGTGGGGTATATAAGCATGTCAAGTAGGCGCGTGGATCTCGCCGTCGTGGTTAGGATCTTACTTGATCCCATTCTGTCCGTCCGCCAGCTTGCTACTGGCGACAACGAACTCTGTGTCACAGAACACATACCACATATAATACACAAGCAGCTCGCTAAGTGTGCAACTTCACAAGGCTTATGACGTACTGGTGGTCGGTAACGACCGTGAAACAGCTATTTGCTTCTGGCTTGTTGCATTCTTAGCGAGCTGCTTATGAATTATATATGTAGATTGAAGCAATGGTTTTCCCGGAATAAATTTGAATAAGGCAAAGGCGACAAAACATGCAGTATTTACTGACGTCATAAATTTCGAGACCTCCCATTCGGCTGCGTACGGTCATTGCATAGTTATATGACAAGGCAAACTGTTAAATCAATGATCGACCTAGAGAGATAAAACGCGATAGGTAACCTGAAACACGGGTCTAGTATGCGGGTGCATATGGCGAGAGGGGGAGGGGGGAGAGAAGTCATCCAAATATGAGAGTTAGGACTACAGTGAGAACTTGTCCGGCGTGACTTAGAGTGCAACGCGCGGGCAGCATTCAGTCATG